TATATTAAATTACAATATATTTGGATACACTTCAATTTTGTTTTTAGATTGAGTTGTATTTGTTTTTAGACTGAGATTTTTTGTTTATCTCAACGGGTTTGAAACTACTTTACTGGTTTTGTGTACAAGGGTTACAAATTTAACTATAATGATGAGAAAAAAGCTATCTTCCATTACCACTTCAAATATAATAGCCTTGGCTACTCAGAAAGGCTGATCAAATAATGCTTCTCATGATTCAAGGCCCTGACTATTGATCACAGCTGTGTTGAACCTTTTGATCCCCTATACCAGCTTATAAACTTGTATCTTTGCTGGATCATCTCCACCACCAAGGATCAAATCCCCACTGAGTTGATCAATAAACCCTTCTAAAATTTAATTATTCTTAACTGGCTCTGTTGGAGATTCAACAAAAATTCAAAGAAATTTTACTGATATGTACTATTCTTAAAGCAATAAGGGATTCAGTGCAGCATTCACTAATCAGATAATATTAGATGAGGAGCAGAAGCTTTCCAGACATGATAATTTCTTTTTTCCTACACAATTATGAAGTTAACTCCAAGGAAAGGACAATCTTCTTTTCCATCTTCCAATATTTTTACAACATTCTCAAGTAAAAGACCTGGCTTGGAGATGGTATTTTTTCACCTTCTCAAAGCTGTCCAGACAGCTTTAAAATATACACAGACAGATTGAAAAAATTTCTTTCCCTTGTGATATATTTCATTCCTAATAAGAAGAATGACATCTATGTCTGTTCTCTTATGATTCTCAAAAATAATTTTGATGAAATCCTTCTCACATTGGAATAAAAGCCCAAAGAGATAAGAGGGAAGAAGAAAAACTTCACCCAGGAAGATGAATATATCATCCCAACAAAAAAGCATCCTGAGATCTTGCTCTACCACATTTATCTTGTGGTTGATTTTGAGCATGATCAGGCTATTGCCTTCATTAAAGCCTTTAAGAGCTCCTCACAGGGATGATATTTTCTTTTTGTCAAGCACTCTGCTGCCGCCTATATAAGTGCTCTGGACTTCAGGATCTGATCAACACTGAGGGCAGCAAAGAGATCAAAGACACATTTAACTGCTTTGCTGAAATGGCCCTGGTGAGAAAAACGCAGTAAATTCCTTTATGATCCCTCCTCAGCCATTGTTATATCACTCCAAATCAAGAAGTATTTGCTTGATTAATTGAGTACTTTGAAACTCAATAGAGTATATCTTTCAAGGAGCACACCACATCAGAAAAAGTGGTGACTCACCTCAGTGATACTGCTTCAATAAGGTAAAATAAGTTCTGATCAAGACCACCTCTTTCCTTGAAGGGTGATATATCTAGTTTTTTACAAGGGTTGGCATTAAAAGGCCCAAATTCAACAAGATCCTTGTTCAATTAAAACACAGCAGTAAATATATGTCCATTTTTTAAAACAGGCATAAAAAACAAGGATGACCCTCCAAAGTAAACCAAGGTGGTCAAAAAATACTAGGACATAAGCAAGGCAGTCATTGTTTACTATCCCAGGGATAGTAAGTTTCAGGTACCCAACCAGTTGGAAGTAAACTTCCAAGATGATAGATGATAGAAGAAAGATTGAGGCTGGTCACTAAGGAACCTACAGGAAGGGACACTATCCCAAGATAAAAAAGCTCCCTAAATAAGCAATAACAGCCCAGAAGAGGATTGAATCTACCCAAGAAGAAGTACACCCCCAGATAACTAAGGAGGAAGGCGGAAGCCAATGGATGGGATACTGTGTGAGTGACAGGTTTAACCAATGCTTGATACATTTGAGGCTTTTCTTTAAGTGTGGATTATGTGATAGTGAGTAGCAGTGTACCACACTCCTGGAATTACATGGTGTCAGGACTTCTCTAAGTACTGGGATGAAGAGGAGGAACCAGAGTTGGCTCTAGTTCCAAAAAAAGCTGGCTATGCAAGCCTGCAAAAAAATAACCCACAAGACCCATTTATACCCAAGGGACTTCCAGAAGGAATTCTTGGGCAATCTCATGGTTGCAGTGGTGGATGAGTTGAATTAAAAGATATAAATCAATGTGTGAGTGAAAGACTTTATTGATTGAACAATTCATGAAATTTAACTTATCAGCTTTATATAGCATGATAGCAATAAAATATATTGGGGAAGATATGAAAAGGGATGAAGAGATTTGGGATGTTTCTGGGAAAATTGGGTAACTTGAAACTTAAAACTTGAGATCTGAAATTAATTTCCTTATGATTATGTTTGTCAGAAAATTGCGGCCCATGGTATTTTATCATCCTCCAGATGATATCCTAAGTCTTCTAACATTAGGAAAGTAAAGAGAACCTGTGACTTTGATGTAACCTCTGGCCTGGGATATTTGTTGTCATCAGGGGTAGAAATTCTGACAAGGCCCAAGGCCTGGAGGATTTGGGATGTTCCTTTCTACTTCTGGATATAGGTTCATAGGTTGTTGTCTCTATATTTTACTATAGGAATTAATACTTTATGACAACAGTATCATCTTTTGCTCTCCACCAATAAAGCCTAAGAGAGGATTTCATTAAGGAAATATGACTTGGATCAATTATTAAGTCAATACAGAATCATCAGTCTTTTATTCTAATGAACTGGCTTTAAGGTGGCCCCCCTGCCTGCATTTTATCTGAGTTAGCTCACAACGCTAAAAGAGACTGAAGTAGCATTAGGTCAACACAGCAGGAGGCCCATCCTTTTTGGGGTGGTTTTAATAGAAGGCTTGCTTGACATTTTCCACAGATTGATATCCTTTCTGTCTACCTGGGCCACTTCCAGGGCTAGCTAGCCAGTGGTTGGCTACTAGTTCATGGAGATGGTTGTTTCACTTAATCAGAGCTACTCTAATACAATAGGCTTGAAGCCTTTTATCTTAGAGTGTTTGGCCCAACAGCCCAGTCCATGTTGGACTCTTCTAGAAGTGTTTAGGATGATGGCTCATATGATGGCCCTTGTTCTAGGATACAATTAAAGTTTAGAATAGTAATTATTATGAGAAGCATGTTTGGGGTGGTTGTTGAGGTAGACTAATAATGAGCAAAAATTGCATGTTCCATTCATTAATTGCAATGCATGAATTTTTTGATGCCAGGATATGATTTTATCATTGATTTCACAACCCTTCAGCCTGCATTATTTTGTTGAAACCATTCCTAAGAGCAATTAACTGCTGGCCCACGTTTTTTTGTTAAATCTGTTAATTAGTCAATATCCAGAAATCCTGACAATGTTTTTGTCAACATAGTTACTTACAAAACCCTGGTACTTCTCATAAGATCAACCAAACCTGGAGACTTCAAACAGTTTCCCCCACAAAATCTGGGGGCAAGGAGCAGGGACCAACAACAGAAACAGAAGACATCAGGCCTGAAAACACAGAGCCTGGGTTAGAAAGCAAGCCAACATCACCAGAAATAAGTAGAAGACAGTTCAAATCCAATTTTGAGCTCCATGATTGGCTGGAGCCAATTTCAAAAGGTAATAATTGATTATCCTTATCCTCTATAATAATATTACTTCCTAGGTGTCCAACTGGGTCTAAAGACAACTCAGGTTTGATCCCTGTCTCAGTGAATAATTGGTTCATTAATTTGACCCAGCCATTAATATCAGGTAAAATAGAACATTTACTACCTATTAACCCATTATTTCTAGGTGATATAATTAATAAGCAAGAGGAAGAATCTTCTCTTATTAATTCTACTAAATGATTAATGTCAGAAATATAATACAAGGAATTCCTGATGTTGCAATTGAGTTTTCAGACTTGCCTGCCAATGTATCTTACAATACACAGGGGGTGCTCAACGAGTCACCCCTTGACATGTCTAACAACATGAACCAATCTGATGGCAATGTCAAATGGCAGGCACTTCCTCCTAATTAGGAGCGCTACCAATTCAACCTGCTGATCCCCCCACAAGTTATTCCTTGGCTTTGAACCCTACATGGAACATGCTACTATGCCACCCCCTTGTGGCCTTGTGGCTTTTCCCATATAGTATATTAATCACAATATTCTACAATAAAGAATACCTTATTCTATTCATTCTTGACCTTTCTATTGTACTGTTGTCTTCCCCAATTCAAATACTGAGCTCTAATTGGTTCAGTTTGAACACTGACAGTGAGCTTTAAAACTTGCAATCCATCACTTGGCTCTCTCAGCCAATGTATGAATCTTTCTCAATAAACTCTTCTCTTTTTTATCTTGACTTCTTTTATTTTTATTGTTTTTTTACTCTTTTAGTATGCAGTTATTATATATGTATAGCATAAAGTATTTCTCATAACCAATATATATTAAAAAGGCCTTTTTGATGTAGGATTTGGGGCTTTATGCTGCCTTGCTGCTACTAATTGACCCCTTTTTATTGGAGATTTGAAATCATGAGCCTTTTTAGTCTATCTATAATTTTTTAAAAAGTATATATGTTTTTTATGTTTTCAGCTTCAAACATAACCACTGGTTGAGTTACTGTTTTTCTTGGTTGTGATGCCAATAATCAAGATGATGTATCTACTATTGCTTTCAAGATAGCATGAATCAAGATGGTGTGTTTTGAAATGCCATTTTTGAGATGAAGTGTCTTACTAATTTAGAACCTTAATGGAAATCAATAATCAAGAGATATTCAGTTTGACCTAACTTGTAATAAAATAAGATATTTAAAATAAAGCCTAAGATTTATTTTTTCTATAAAAAGGGTTATAAACTTGGTGAACTCAAAAAATTGATTTTTTGGTTGTGAGAAAGGTAAGATTAAAAGATACATCCTAATATAAATATTGATTTTTACACTAATAAAATTTAAAATATTTTATAAAGATTTTTTTGGTTAAATAACAAACATTTTTAATATCAAAGACTTTAATGCAGTAAGGTTCTCCATACAATTTGGTAAAGCGCAATGTACTGCTAATTTAGCTGTATAAAGTGGATAGTGTTATCCTGGAAAACATCAAAGCCCTGTTAGCTCAGTCGGTAGAGCATGAGACTTTTAATCTCAGGGTCACGGGTTCGAGCCCCGTACAGGGCTTTTGCGGCTATAGCTCAGTTGGGAGAGCGTCAGACTGAAGATCTGAAGGTCCCGCGTTCAATCCGCGGTGGGCGCATTTTTGCCATAGTTTATGTTTCTGAATTTTTCTGCTGACACATATCTTATTATTTAAATAGTGCTTATATTTATCAATCTTTTATTTTGCGATTCTAGTTAAACTTTAACAGGGCAATACTTGACTCGAGGTGCTACTTTTTATATAAGCAGTGTAAAGTCAAACACAGTTTTGTTGCATATTACAGTTGAATAAAAGTGTTTATTTGATAATTAAATATATGAAGTAATCAGGCGAATGAAGTGGATCACTTCTATTTGATAACTTGATATATGCCGTCATATTGATAAAAGCATTAGAGTTGGCATTGATTAGTTAATGTAAATTTCTATTTGGCTGGGCTAGAGCCGAGAAGTAAATTGTTATGACGTCCGTCTTAAACGCAGTTAGGTTTTTTATATTGTATTATCTAGCATGGTGTATGATTGCTTAGTAGCTACCATTTTAAAGGTAATTAATAAATTGAGAACTACCCAAACCCTTGAAATTAGGAATTCACAGTAATTGCAAAAGAACCTCATTTCAAAATATATATTTTTGCATCATCTTAAATCAGGATGATTCCGGATGTTATCAGAGAAATTTTTTGTCGTTAATATACTTTCTTGGAAGTATATTGTATGAGACAAGAGGAATATTTAGAAGATAATTTATCCTTTTATTGAAATAAAAGAAGTGGATTACACAGCTTGTTGATATGGTACATAACATACATGTATATGACGCATACAGTAGTTTTAAAAGCTATGGTGACAACCGAAAATACCTCAGATTTAAATGAACCCCAAGTTGCATGAGATTCAGGATTCAAATAATTTAAATATTTTTGGTGTACAAATGAATTGTCAAATAATAAATGAAATTTCACTAACACATTATACAAAATTATATCAAACATCAAGCAGCGTAGTTCAAACCACAAACAAATTGGACTGGCACATCAAGTGAAATGGATGGATGCTGTTCCAGAATATATTATAATCTGATCAGGATTCATCTGAGCCACCAACAGAAGGACTAAAACGAAACAAAATTTGAGCAATCTAGAAGCAAGATTTCACAAACACAAAACAAAATGAAGACACACAATATGTGTAGTATGAGCAGCCTAAAATAGAAAAATAACAGTATAACAGCCAATCAACAGCTATCCAATTTAGGAACAGAGGTATTTTATTCATTTTCATGGCTCCTGATTTGTGTAAAATAGTTTTGAGAACTTTCTAAATATGAACTTGTGATAACAATAAAAATAAATAATAAAATTTTAAACTTCTACTTTTAGTAATTTTTACTTAGTTTTATTTTACAAAGATTTTTTAGCAACATTTTTGGCAGCGCCAGCAAACAAGACAGTTTCAGTGGAGGTGTGGCTCAGTATATGGAGGCTCCCCTTTACACCCAGGCTTTTAATGCAGGTAACAAGGAAGCTGTCCTGTACTTGACCCCCAACCCTTATGGCTTTGACTTGTTTGAGAGTCACCTAGTGTCCAGCTCTGCCCCGCTCCCTTACCCACCCTTGAACAAGCTGTCAACCAATCAGCCAATCAGAATGGCAACCCTAGTTTGGAACAACTGCCCAACACCAGCCAACCTGCCCCCTCTATAGTCAATCAGGCTTCAGCTCCCCCGGCCCAGCACCCTAAGCGCCAAATCATTACTTCCTGAATTCTCCAAGAATTGTGGCACTCAATCAGCAGGGCCTGACTTGGGATCAGATTGTCAGCCAATTGAAATTTACCTGAGCCACTATCATGCAGGAATTCAACAACCTGATAAACAAGGGGAACCTGATTGGGATGGCCAAGAAGCCAAAGAAGGCTCCAGAGTCCCAGATCAATGAGGCATACCCAATCATACTCAATCTCCTGCAGCAGGACCCCAAGCTTCCCCTGACCCAGGTCCAGAAACAACTTTTGAACCATGGCATATGGGTTTCTGAGCGCATGATGCAGTTCTGGATGCACAGGAAAGTGGCTTCAATAAAGGGTTGACCAATTTCTGCAGGGATCAATGTGATGGCAGCTAGGATTCCATATACAATCATATCATTGAATTCACTCTGGTCTAATATCTGGAAAGTTTATCCAATGACATCATGTTCATTGCATATTACAAATTGTCCATCACTTTTGAAAATTTTGGTAAGCAAGGAAAAGCCACCAAGAAAATGGAAGAAATAAGTTCAATAGGGGGATGTTCATTGGTGCATTCCTGGATGTTTTGGCCAAGGGTTTTGTCTATTATTGGAAAAACCCCAATTACACCAATGGCTATGAGTATAGCCATATTCTTAGTGAATTTCTGGACTCTTGGGATAGATCAAATTCCCCTTACCAGGTTTTCTTGAGCCACCAGATAGAGGGTAGCTCCACTGCCCTTGAGTCAATCCAAGGACACAGGCATCAGGCCTTAGTCTACCCAGCAGCCATGCAGACATCCATCCAGCCAAAGTTGTGTTCTTCAATATTGGAGACACAGTCCAGGAGCACCACCCACAGGCTTTTAATGACCTTTATCTTGGAGTCCTGGACCATGATTCTCTCTTTGGTTGCCAAATGGTGGTTGACTTGTTTGCTCAGATGGTCTTCCATATGAATATGGGCAACCAATCACATAAGGATAAGCACCTCCCACCCTGTGCCACAGTCACCAAACAGCTAATCAAGGCAATGACCAACAAGAAATACAATCAGCTATATATGACAGACATCACAATAAATCCTCCTGCCTCTACCCCCGCCACCAACACCCCTCACCCACAAGCCTAACCCACCCAATCCCAGACCCCCCAGGCCAGCACCGCCTCTACGCCTTCCTTCCTGCGCTATTATTCCTAATAAGTATCCCTCTTTTCCTTTCACATAAACTCCTTGTCACCAAACATTTTGTATTTATATTATTTTTATCCTGAATTTCAATTGTTGTTTTCTCTTTTTTTTAGTTGATTGTATTCTTTATGTTTAGTTTGTTTCTATAAATCATGTTTACTATGCTGTGTATCTAGATCCAGAAAATAGTTGTTTTTAGTTCTTTACACAGCCCCTTGTGAAAATATTAACAACAATTTGGAAATCAGCTAAATTTGAATTATAAAATTATATATTTATTGTGTTTAGAGGAAGTTGTTGCTGATCCAAATTCAAAACTTTAATGATAGACTTTAAGCCAATCAGGAGCCAAGTGATAAAGTGATTGTTGTGACATAAAGGGTCATTCAATAATTCTTTTATGCAGGTGCACTAATTAATATGATTGGCTGGATTTTTTTCCATTGAGGGCCATTGTCACTATGGCAAGTTGTTGGTGGACTAGTGCTAACCCAGCAGCTGATTGGGCACTAGCCCACCAACAACTTGCCACAGCAGCAATGGTGCACAATGGTAAAACATCCAGCCAATCAGATTAAGTAGCACACATACACCAAAGAATTATTGAATGACCCTTTATGTTACAACAATCACTTTATCACTTGGCTCTTTTGGCTTAAATTTTATCATTAAGGTTTTGAATTTGGATCAGTAACAACTTTATCTAAACACAGTTAACCTATAATTTTCTAATTCAAATTTATCTGATCACCAAATTGTTCTTAAAATTCACAAGGGGCTGTGTAAAGAGCCAAAACAATACAGCAATTATGGAAGCAATGCAAAAAACAAAGCAAACAACACATATTGAGATTAATGTAAAACATATACACAATGGGTAAAAAAATGAGATATTGTAGTGAATGAGAAAAAAAACATGGATAAACACAGATGTTGTAATATCAGAATCAAACCAAGTTAATTGGGATGAAAGCTATAAAAGCATATGCAAAGGTTAGTAAAAAATCAATGAGAGAACTCAAAAAACTTCTTAAAGACCTTGACCATGTGATTACTAAGATCAAAGAGATTGATTGCAAAGTCAAAGCAAAGGTGAAGTCTGCTGTCTAGATTGGTGTCACAGCCCATGCCAGAGTCTGGCTGAACTCCCACAGGGGAGGCAGGCTGGGCCTGGAAGGCCATGTACACAATAGGCACAATTCTGACCAGGTAGTTGACTGCAGTAGCTAGGGGACGCCAACTCCCATTATGGGGCATAATCTGGTTGGCCAGCCCCAATACTGTGATATAGACAAACCCCAACTTACTGAAATCCTGAGTAGGAGGCGCGTTAGGTGGAGGGGGAGTAGTAGGAATCTCCTTCATGCTAGGTGGCACAGTCACTCTTGGGTGACCAGAAGGGAGTTCCAGGTGATGGGGATGGTAGAACTCCAAGTCAAGAACTCTAGATAGTTTGATCAAAGTGATGGGAGCTGAACCAGGTGGAAATGAATAGGCATGTTTATAGTGTGTAGTAGATTCACAAATAAATGCAAACAGAATAATTAAATTAGAGCAAAAATAGATAATTCCTGCAAGAAAATAATGGGTCCTGGGCATATAAGTCGTTTATTTTAAGATGTCAACAGTGAGGAGTGCTTTTGCTCCTCACTACTTATACTTAATGGTAAAGATGCAGCCTTTTATGCCACCAGGGATCTGGTACCAACACTTTCAGTCAAACAGGCAATCTTTCCCGGGAATTGTGTATTAGAGCTTAGGATAGATTATTATTGGTCAGCATAACAGGAACCTTGCTTGAGATGCAGCATGCTGAGATGCCACAGCTATTTATAGAACCCACAAGCAATCAAGCGCCCAATTGCACAATCAAACAATTTCTCTCCCAATGTATCATTTCCCAATAATTAAGAGGGTCAAATGTGTTAATAGAATTGAAGCCAGGGATTTGAGGCTTGTGTGCCTCTAAAATCCCGGGCCATTTGTTAATTGAAAGGGGGTTTTCTTGCTCTGGGAGACAATTGGCAAAGATTGCCAGGCTGTGGGTTGTTTGGCCTCTAAGAAGGCCAGCTGGTTGTCCAGGGCATTCTGGG